CACACACATACTGTAATGTGTTGGCAATATCAGCCAACGTTAATGGATTACTTCTGCTAAATGCTAGCATAATGACTTGACACGAGGAACTTGCCTGGTGAACTTCCGCAGAAATAAGAAGAAATCAATTCTTTGTACCCTTCAGAGGCAGCACAGAGATTCGAGCCCTCCCTCTTAGCTCAGCCAAAATGTCAAACAGACAAATTGTTAGGAAAATCAAATAATTTGATTTAGGTAGAAGAGAATTAAAATGTATGCATGTTGCTCACATTTTTTTCTAGTTATGCTAAAGTGACATTCTTGGAATGACACTTCCAGAATATCACTTTGGAGAGTGGATTTTTTATGCTAATGAGCAGATTCTTTTAAAGATGACATTATTTTTTTTTAAAGAAAGCAGGAGGAAAATAGACAATGAGGGACTTGACCCTGTTACCTTCTGTTTTGCTTTGCTTTTTGCTGTTTTTCTGCACATGAGCATTTGTGAGTGTGTGTGTGTGAGTGTGTGTGTGTGTATGTATGTGTGTATGTATGTGTGTGTGAGTGCATATGTGTGTATACCTATGTATATGTGAGTGTGTGTATGCTTGTGTTTATGTGTGTATTGTGAGTATGTGTATCTTTGTTTGTGTGTGATGTGTGTATGTGTCTGTGTGTGTGTCTCCTATTTACGCTGTACTTTAAACTGGTTTCATCTGTTAATTAATTTCTTGTGTTTCTCATACCTGGCATCCTGCCACTACCTCAAACTCACCTCAGATTAACTCAGGCATCAAAATCATTATTTTTTTCTTTAAGCCACTCTTTCTAGAAGCTTCTTTGATGTTTTAAATAACAGGAAACAGGGAAGAAGTCTTTTTTCTCTCTCAACTGGAGATGATCACAAAATATATGAAGTAGTGATGAAATTATGTTTCTAAACTCTTAGAGGTCCTGCTCTCTGTGGAGGGCATCAGCCTGAAGCTGGTCCTGTCTTTGGAGAATAGAGTTATCAGGGTGAAGGAGGTGAGAGAGAGACACGGAAACTGGATAGGACCAGGACCTGCAAACCAGCTTCAGTGTAGTAGCTTCACATGTGTGTATAACCTATTCCCAGAAGGGCTTTTCTGTGTTCCAGAGAGTTGGTTCCCACTCCACTCACTTGTGATCTTTTAACTTTCATCCAACTTCTCAGACCAATTCTTACGCTCTCCGTTCAGAAAGTCTTCGAGTTATTTGGGCTCTAGGTTCCCAGTTGAGGCACCTTGACTCCAGAGGAAAAGTTACAATGTTCAGAGAGAGAGGTTTGAACTGGGGAGGAAAGATTCTGCTGGCTCCACTGGCTAGTTAGACTGGTTCACATCCCACAGGAAGAATGAATGATTATCAGCCTAAAATGTCAATAATGTCAAGGTTGAGAAGCCTCGCCTAAGCAAATTCAGTTTCTTCATATGTTTTCCTTGTTTGTTGTGGCTTCTGGAATAATATGTGTTTAGCTTGTATTTATTTTAACTCCTTATAGGAAGGAAGCATATACATATTCATCTTTTTATCCCAAACTTAGAACACTCAAAACTGAATTGATCAAGAGGAGTAAATATATTGAAGAACACGAGACATCTATTCATTGCTAGAGTCACTTAATGCTTTTTCAAAGGAAACACACCAGATTCGAGGAAAGTTTTATTTCTAATTGTCTAGTTATGAGATCTTGAACTTGGAAAAGACTTTCAATGTAATCCAGTCTGGCTGTTTTTCATTACCAAGGGACCTCTTTTGATTTTTCTAAATACTGAATTGAAATTCAATTGCCAATCATTCTCAGGTGCCAGACTGTGAAATTGGTATTTCCTCATTTAGACATTATCAGAATATATGGTAGCCCTCTTCGCATAGATATCAACTGTGTGTTTGAATTCATTAAGAATGTTAATTGCAGAAAAAGTCACTGGATGATCTTGATAGCTCTTTTCAGCCCTGAATTAAACTGCTACCTTCCCTGTCATATTTATTTACCACATAGGGTAAAAAGACACTGCACAATGCATTTTCTATGCATAGATATTTGGTTTATTAACTTCTCATGGACCCAGACATATTTAGATCTTTACCGCTAATAAATTCCTACCCCTTATTTACTTAATGTCAAAGACATCTTTTATTTTATACTTGTAAATGAACACATTTTAATTACAATGCCTTTGATGATAAAGTCTTACAGAACTGTTTTCCTCCTGTTTTCGGTTGTTCCTCTCTCTGTCTCTCTCTCTGTCTCTCTCTCTGTCTCTCTCTCTGTCTCTCTCTCTCTCTGTCTCTCTCTCTCTCTCTCTCTCTCTCTGTGTGCGCGTGCGCACACACACGCACACATGTACACATGTGCAATTTGATTATGAAGATTTTAGGAACAATTGCTGTACCTTTTTAAAAAGAATTCAAGTACCTAATACAGTAAGAAGCTTCTGTTTGTTCAAAGACTGGGACTGGAGGGCTCAGATACTTAGATGCTAAGAGGAAATTCTTTCCCTCATATGTACAATTCATGGTATCCTTGAAATAGTCCCGAGAGAGGAATACCAAGCTCTGTAGTTTTTTTTTTAATTAAGAAGTTGAAAGATAAGATTCTCACGCATTATGTGATACAAAGGTGCAGGAAGAGAAAGCTGTAAGTGCACGCATTTTGGCATAAAGGTACTGACATTTCATTATGCAAAATTGTATTGCTATCAGCAGAAAATAGCCAGAGGAATATCGTGATTCCCATAAAAATGGAAAGAATATTCATTATTACCTAGAGCTGAGTTAAACCGTGTTCGTGTTTTTGCTAAAAATTAATTTTATTGCTTTTGCAATGTTTATTTATCTTTTATTTGGATCAAGAACATGAGAGTTCTATGCCAAGCCTTGGGCCAAAGGCTTGTGTGTCTTTGGACAAACCTTACTGGGTATACATTTTTATTTTAGAAATTTATAGGAGTGGGATAGATTCATTTTTAATATTTCTTCTGCCTTTATGAAGATTTATTACTAAAACTTCTTTACAACATATTATTATGTTTTATCATCTTGGCAGTTTTGTGAGAAAGGTCAACTAAACAATATTTTCTTTTTACAAATAAAAAAAAGTAAGTTCAGACAGTTAAGTGACTTAAACAGGTCTGGTATGTAAGAGCCTAGAACTGCCTCCAAGATACTCTCTGCCCTGCCTGAACAATCAATTTGTAAAAACCTTTTTTTCTTGATTTCAAAAATGAAACTTTCAAATTTACACCCCTAGTGCTAAATATAAACTCCATACTTTAAAAAAGTATTTACCTAGAGAGAGCCAATGAGATCCGGTACGCACCACAACCTTTGGACAGCAAAGCAAAATTCAAGATGCATGCCTACTTGCTGTGATTGGTAGCATCTTCCTGTATCCTAGGCTGAGAATAACTGTGAAGTCAAGCTGAATTTCTCTATGGAAGTGTATCCTGTAATATTAGCCACATATACCCTGAACATTAGAGAGTAGGGTGGAAGAGAGCTACTCATGGATGAAGCAGCCTTTGAAGTAATGACTTGAGAATTTATTAATATCTTTTGAAGGGTCTGATATTGTCTTGCCTTCCAGAAGATTTTGTAGCTGAAAACTTCAGCTTTTATTATAAATTATTTCTTAATTATAAGAGTGTGCTTAAAGGACTTGAGTGTCTTCATTTGTAACTATAGACTATGAAGGTGTGTAGTAACTTCTTCTGATTAGTTTTAACAAAATTTATTAGAAAGTATGTATATGTATCAAATATAGATATGTATTTGATATATATGTACATGTTTAGTTTATAGATTGTACAGATAACCGATATATTTGTGTGTGTATGTGTGTGTGTGTGTGTGTGTGTGTGTATAATCATAGTAGTTCCCATTTTATATGGGAAACACATTTTAAGACCTTCAATGAATGTCTGAAGTCCTGAACACTGTATATACTCTATTTGTTCCAGTGTGTACATACATATGATAAAATTTAATTTATAAGTTAGAAATACCAAGAGGTTAACAGCTAGTAATAAAATAAAACACTCTAATACTATGCTGTAATAAAGCTGTATAAATATGGTCTCACCTCTCACCAGACGTTTCAAGTTCCATCACACTATAGAAATATTTCTGGACCTCAGCTGACTGTGGGTAACTTAAGCACACCAAAAAATGAAGCCATGTATAGGGTGAGCCATTTTCCTAAAAATCAAGGCTCTCTGGACTGTGCAGTATCAATGTCAATTATAGTGTTAAGAAAAGATAAAGCTCTTGTGAACCAGGCATGACTGGTCTTTGCTTGCCTGCTGCAGCTATTCATAATGTTGGGGGCATTATACCCCTTCCCCCACTTTCCTCCATCTGAGTTTTACAATAATTTTGGGATTAGAATTGTGTAGTTTCTCATTTGAAGGAGGTTTTAGAATTATCAAGGTTGGTGTGGCTAAAGGAAGTTTGAGAGGCAGAATTCAGACCAAGATTTAATAGATATTAAAGTCATTTATTTTAACATAAGTAGATTGCATGATTTCAAATTTGAGGCTATAGATATTTCCCAGTGAAGGTCTATGAGCCCCTTCCCCCCATTTAATGACCGTGTTTGGATTTCCATCTCATTATCTCTATATGCTGGATGCCCCAGCTTCAGGAAGAACGTGATATGCACAATAAAAGAGCCATTATTTCTCAGTGTTTGCCAATGTGCCCATGAGTTGTTTCTCTGTAGAGTGTAGTGTTTCATCCAGCAAGCATTGCTCTGGGTTTAGAGAGTTTACTTTAATCGAGACAAAAACTTCCCTGAAGAACTCTTATTGTTGGGGCAGTATATTATACATAAACTGTACTCTTATGTTATTCATGAATATAAGCATAGTTTAGAAAAAAATGCGTATTTTCAGATTTATCAAAATATGCTATCTGAGGTATGCAATAGAGTCATTACTTTAATTGAAGCAATACATGCAATCAGCGTTTCATTTTCTTCTCCTTCTTCTTCTCCCCAGATTCCTTGGTGTTACTCAGTTCTCACCTACGCATGCCAGGAAGGCGTTCCCGTGTTTCGATGAGCCAATCTACAAGGCTACTTTCAAAATCAGTATCAAGCATCAAGCCACCTACTTGTCTCTATCCAACATGCCAGTGGAGACGTCTGTGTTTGAGGAAGACGGATGGGTAACAGACCACTTTTCGCAGACCCCTCTCATGTCCACGTATTATTTAGCCTGGGCGATTTGCAACTTCACATACCGAGAAACTACTACCAAGAGTGGGGTTGTCGTAAGTATTAGCCTAATGTTGCTTTGGGTGCTGTCTACCCTCTAAAGTAATCTGATTTCTAGGTTCACAGGTGTCACTTGTAATGCCTTCACATCTGACTCAGCCAAAGTCTTTAGCTATTGGAGGTTAAACGTAATCCTTGTTTCAAAGTTAGACAGAAGCTTTTCTCCCGCTACACTCAATTTTCTATTCTTCCAACCATCTCCGTCCCCTGCTTTCATGGCCCCTGACTTTCCTCCTCCCCACCCCAAGCCTGGGTATGCCCAGAACAGCACTTGACTTTTCTGAAAAACTTCTTGGTTCCTGGTGCAGTTTTCTATTATGATTTTTTTCAAATGTATAGAAAAATGTACCAAATGATACAATGAACTCAACTTAGCTATTAGCCAGCTCTGAGAAGTAAACCGTATTGAATAGAACTAAAGCTCTCTAGCAGAACTCGTTACCTGATATCCTCTCCACTGGGAACCCTAACTTTAACTTTGCATTTATCTTTTCCATGCATTTATTGTCCATTTACAATATATGTTTATATGCACTTATAATACTTACTGTACTCTAAAATCCAAGATACTTTTTAGAAGAGATATCAGCCTTCATTGTATGATTCTTTCACCTACTTTTCTTAGGTAGTGTGAGGTAGTGCAGGCCTTGTCTGCATTAACTTCATGGTAAAGACCAAGTGGCTTATCGTTGATGGCCCTCCTTAGTGACATTAAGGTGTTCTAGACACTTTTCTATTGCATTGTATCATGCTAGGCTAAGCCATGGTGAATGAGCCATTTCTTCGTCATTTCAATTTCTTCCATAATAACTAAGCATTTATTTTAACTTTCATATTAATTACAAAGGCTATTATGGTTCTCCATTCTGCACATGAGTAATTGGGGTTTAAATAGATTAAGTAACCTTCCAAGAGTCAAAAATCACAAGTCAAATCTGTTTGTCCCCAAGGTTTGGTCTTTCTCTCCTGTGCCCAAGGACTCTCTTTTTACCACTTAACCTGCATGCCTTTGAGGGAATTCATCTTATGATCTTTCCTACGACATAGCTCCTATATTCCATTTTCCTTGCCCATAGCAGAAGAAGTGACTGGAAAGTTATGTTTTTAATCGGTTGGGATTCACAGTTCTATAATAACTTGCATTTTGAAAAATAGTTTTGGCAAATGATCTTTTTCTCACTTAATTTTAATTTAAGCCACTGTGGAACCTGCTTTTAAAAAAACCTCCACACAAAATTAATGTCGTTATTGAAAAACTCTGGAGTGAGTTCATCTGTGTAATTATTAAAGTAATACCCTAAATGCTGAGTATAGAGGGCTAGCAGCTTTTTTACTCTTCAGACTTACAATAATTTGAAATGTTGAGTTCCTCATATGCTCGTTGATGTCTTCTGTGGACATATCAAGTCTGCACTCACTGAACCATACACAGAAAAGGCACATGAAGATATCTCATTTCCCTTTGTGTCTTCAAAAGTTGATGACTGACTTACAGAGGCTCAGCTAGCATGAAGTATCCTGGAAGTGCTTGGGCCTGGTATATTTTCTTTAAAGGACCGTGAAAGTGTCCTCAGTTCTACATAATTGTGCTTGCTGCTAAGACCTGCTTGTAAAACCATTTTAGTTCTTCCGATGTGACTTTTTATTGTTAGGGATCTCTAAGTAATCAGTAAGCACTTTATCATTCGTGCTTGGTAATTTTAGTGTAGAAAAGCTAAAACCATAGTAGTAAAGAAAATTGAAAGATCAGCTGAAAGAAAACTTCAGACTGTATAATCTAAAAATCTTAAAGCGAGTAAAAAAGGAAAGCAGAATGGCCATTGGGAGCTCCCGTTTATCAGCTGTGGAAACATAGTTGGAAACTCCACTCTCTTTCCTTGTCACCCCTTTGAAATGCAATCTATTTTCTTCTCACTGACGTTCCCCTTTATTACTGGGGGCACCTGGGAATGACATTGCTCAGCCCTTAGCAGATGGGAGGAGGAGAGAGTAGGCTTCAGAATCCTGGCTGTGGGATTGTCTTGTGAGGTCCAGGTGGTCATTTTAGATCGGAAGTTGCAGCAATGGTGTTTGAGTTATGAGGCAGGAGCTTGAGTAGCATATTAATAATATGGAGCTGAATCCCCCAGTGCCCTAGGTGTGAGTACTAGAGTCATCATCATGATCATTGTTATTGGCAAACTGCCTATACTTTGCCAAACACTATCCAAAATAATTGCAAAGGTGAAGAGTCTAAGATACCCCCGGTACGGGGCTGCAAACGCAAATTAGGTATTTAATCCTAATCTGCAAATGCATTGAGTTTATCCATCCCTTCCTTAAACAGCTTATCATTTTTCTTAAATGGTGTTAATATTTACAAATTGACAGATTGCATATAAAACAATTTCCGCCTTCTCCTAAGAATCAAAAATGTAAATGGAGGTCTCTCTGTCCTACCCCATCCTGGAGCTGCTTCATGACCTCTCAGAGGCTTAACAGTAATTACAGACTGCTTGACCTATAGTTCATGCTTTTTACTAACTAGCTCTCACATCTAAATTAGCCCATTTCTATTAATCTATATATTGCCATGCGGACAAGGCTTTACCAGTCTGCTGGCATCTTACTTTTTGGGCGGCTGGCTCGCATCTCCATCGACTCCTGTATTTTTCCTCTTTCTCCCTGTATTGAGTTTGTCTTTCCCCACCTAGCTATATTCTGCCTTGCTATAGGCTAAAGGAACTTTTATTATCTACCAATGCCAGCAACATATATTCACAGTTATCCCACAGCAAGATCTTATATCACATGACTCCCATCTGTATTCTGTAATATTTTCTCATTTATTGATTCGTTCAACAGACATTTGTTGATTGGATGTTACCACAGGTACTGGATAGACTCTGGGAATATGGCCGCCAACAGCAAAGCTTTGTTTGTTTTGGAGATCTAGTGTTCTAATGAAAGAAAATAATCATTCACCCATGTAACGTGCAAAGTGGTGACTTATGCCTTGAAGAAAGTCAGTGGGCTGAAGTTAGGTGGTGACCAGTGTGTTGACACTTGATATTTACTTCTCGTGACGACATTCTCCAGATCTGCTTTATTCTTTGGTGCTCAGTTCATCTCACAGTTATGTGCTAACTGCTGCAATCCTGCATAAAATTAGATTTTAGCCTTACTCTAAGAACACAATTCAGGAGGACAACCGGGACTGCCCATAAGGAAAACAACAGATTCACCAGTTATGAATGAGCATCTCTAGTACTTATTAATTGTCCAGTTGGAGGAAACAATCCCAAGACCACTAGAAGATAGAGAAATTGTTCACAATTGCCATGCAGGCATGTGTTTCATGGAGGAGAGGGGAGTTAGTTAGACCTTGAATGATGATTTGGTCCCAGGGAAGCAGATGCTGTGCGCACGGTGTGCTTGGTTGGGGAAATATTCTCAGGAAGAGACAGAACTGTGGGAGAGTCTGCATGGAGACTGGTGTAGTAGGGTGACAACATATGGGGTTTTATCATCAGATACCTCTGTCTCCGATTTCTTGCCTTGCTTTTCTGTGACCTCAGTTCATGACTTAGCCTCTTTCTTTTCTAGTTTTCTTGTTTCCAAACCGAAAGTATGACTTCTCTTGCGTTTCTCTTCTGGTTCCTGTCCTTGCAAAACAAACTACTCTAAAAGGGATGTGCATGATGCATCCGTTGTATTATGTCTAAAACTTCTGCGGTATGGAATTGAACCGTGCAGTGGAAGTAACTTGTCTCTGCTCGATATTGTCTGCATCTCAATGGTGACGTGATGATTGGTCTCTTACAACCAGGGCCAGAATCACCTGGAATAATATTGGTTTGGTGGTTTATTTTTAGTCTCCTGAGATTTCAGCTGGGGCTGTGTGCCATTGCATTTCTGTGTGGTGTCTGTCTGCACGATTCAGGCCTGCCTAAAATATGGTAGCATCAGGGAGATTTGGTTTCTTTTTTTTTTTTTTAAAAAATATTTATTTATTATGTATACAATATTCTGTCTGTGTGTATGCCTGCAGGCCAGAAGGGGGCAGCAGACCTCATTACCGATGGTTGTGAGCCACCATGTGGTTGCTGGGAATTGATCTCAGGACCTTTAGGAAGAACAGTCAATGCTCTTAACCACTGAGCCATCTCTTCAGCCCCGAGTTTAGAAGAATACTGTCTTAGTTAGGGTTTCTATTGCTGAGATGGAACACAATGACCAAAGCAGCTTGGGGAGGTTTACTTGGCTTATGTATCCTTTATGTTTATTTTGCTTATGTATCAGTTGCAATCCATTGAGGGAAGCCAAGGCAGGAACTCAAAGTGGGAAGGAACCCATAGGCAGGAACTGAGGCAGAGGTCATGGTGGCCTATTTCTTACTGACTTGCACCTCATATTTGCTCCTCATATCCTGCTTCCTCATAGAACCCAGGACCACCATCCCATGGATGGTACCATCTGTAATAGGTTGGGCCTTTTCATAACAATCACTAATTAAAATAATCTTCTATGGGCTTGCTTATAGCTTGATCTGATGGAGACATATTCTCAGTGGCGGTACCCCCGTCTCAGATGACTCTAGCCTGTTTCAAGTTGACATAAAATTAACCAGCATAAGTACCAAAGGTAAGTGCCCTAAAGCACTATAAGACAGCTCCCTGGGACTGTTTCTCATGCCACACTTTATTATTTCCATGACATTGTATTTTTTCCTTACATTAGTTACCAACAATTGTCTAGACTCAACAGAAGAATGCATCCTCGCCAGATCTTAATGAAAAGAATGCCAAAGGATTTGTGTTCTTGTTTTAAAATTAACAGTCTGTTCTTTGTTCACAAACTGTTTACATTCACTTCACATAGAATGTATACTCTCTAATGGGAATCAGCCTGTTAATAAGAAATGCTGACATTTGAGATTTGCAATCTTACACGCCAGAGGAAACCAGGTGCAGATGAGGTGACTCAGTTTTGGTTTCTTGTTCATATCGCTTAATCA